GACCCCTCTGTAATATATCCTGCGGACACCCATGAACAACCTTAAATATTTGTTCATGCAAAGAATATTTAGTATCAAAGTCGAAAAATTTAACAGGAAATTATTTATTGACTTTATAATAAGTTTTAAAATACACTAAAAAATTCAGTGTACTAGACTCACGGTTACTAAGGTTGATGGTAAGAATATTTGTCTACTATACGTTCAAACGATTCCCAATACATTGGTAATGTGTCTAAGTAACATATTAACTGTCGGGTAAAGTTTTCATCTCGAGTTAAACTTAATCACTTTACAGCTAGTCTTAAAGATAAAATTACATTAATGGATAAATGCGGGATTTAGAAAATTCTTTGTACTTGCGATCTAATTTATATTGGCCAAACATGTAGAAATTTACAATTTAGACTTAAAGAACATAGCTCAGCTATAGAAAAACGAAAAATAAATGAATCAGCTTTACAACAACATATAACTAACAATCCCTATTCCCACGGTGTTGACTGGAGTAACTGATTAAATATATTAAAAACAAACATGAATTAAAAATAATTAACTTTAAATACAGATGAAGGTCAAAGTTGTAGAAATTCATTTCTAGTAATCCTTTTTAAACAATGATAAATAGGTGGCAGCACCATGTATGTCAGATGATTGGTAAATGTGTTTGCAATGTGCAAAATAGTAAGATATAAAATATCGGAATGTGTTTGTTTTGTTTTTATCACTACTGCATCCTTCCTGTAGCCAATCGAAACATGTAAGTTTTAATAAGACCTGGTGCCTTCAACAATTTTATAAATTATTGTGTACTTTTAAGTGTTGTTCTGAGTTTTTAATAAGTACAATCCACAAGTACTATATTCGTATTCTTTAATTAAAATGAATACTAAACCTATAACCCGGTAAAAGAGTTAACGTTTTAGAACACTTATTTGTGTTTTTCTGTGTTTGTTAAACAAACGTATCAAATCAAAATCAGCTGCAAGTGGCTTGTTTACTCTCGTCAACGGAGGCCTATGTTACAAACAGCTTTGATTTTTTTTCAAAATGAGCATCATTTCTAAAGTTCTGGACTTTTTTACGAAACAGCCAGGACTTTCAATGTTGTGTGTGTGTCTTACTCTCCTGAAAATTTTTTTTTAAAAAAGGGGAGGGATGAAACCGTACATTTCCGAGTAACTGTGAATACAGTTAACGAGTTTTTACAAAGAATAAGATAAAAAATTATTAGAGAGATTTATCATGGAACAGTTAACTTTAAAATGGAATCCGGAAGGGGTGAAAATTCTTAAGAACCATTCAGGATCTCTCTTTCTCTCTCTGGCTACGGGTGAACGAAGATACTACATGCCATCTAGTTGTTTTCTTCAGTAATGGTATTGCGGTGATACCTTCACAACCACAGAGACTGTAGGCTATTCAACCTCCTTGTTATATTGAAAGCATGCGTGTAATACCTGGGCCATACAGTTATCACGCCCACGGACAAAGCTAAATAAATCGGTTGAACAACTCGTACATCTATTTCACAGCAGGACTGACAAACTGCGGAACCTGTGACACCACACGTTTAATGAACAGCTCTTTATTTCTTTATTACGTCTTAAACCTTAAGACAATTACATGGTCAACTTGTGGTTTCACGACAGTCAACATTAGTGTAGGGTATAATCAGTGCTCACTCTGCGGAACATGACAGAAAAAAGTTTATATATGCTACGCCGTGAAAGCAAAGAGAATGGAAAAACACTACAGTGACTGTGTCGTAGCGTGTTTTACCACGATTAACCACTTTCTCTACTGCTTCTTACCAAAGTTCCTAAACAATACGTGATTACATTATATGTAGTATAAATACAGAGCACAATGTACACATATTTTGACAAAAAATCTGGGAATACTGTATGTGGTATGGGAATACATAATGGAGATATAACTGATGACACATTTTACAAGTTGTGTGTTGAAGAAAAGTTACCAGGCTGATAGCTATGTTCGTATACGAGATTTTATGTGTATTTTTATATGTGATTCATTTATGACATTACAACCTTATAAAATCATAATAATATCTTATAAACAGAATATTCCATTTTTAAAGTTGTCACAGAACTTTGGGTAATGACTATACAAACACGAACAGTTATACATTACACAAAGACAGAAAGAAGTAATGGAATACTCATTTAAGTGTTCCTTATTCAGCAGTTTCGAAGTTCTTGCCTGAACATGCCATTAGTTACAAGATCTCCTCATGCAAAAACGGTGTAACAAACAATCGTCCTTGAATAGAACTTTTATCAAAAGATGATCACGATGTTAATTATCATCTTCTGACTTCAAATTTCACTAAACTTAAAGGCAGATATCGTAATTCCAGTATGGAGTTCTCACAAGTGTTCGTAACACAAGAACGGTGAGCTTATTACTAGGCTTGTAATAATCATTAAGATAAGTACAATATATGAACATTATCTATACCACAAGGTTAGACTTTAAACGATTACATGAATTTGAATGTCACATCCATTAAAAAAAAAATGTCATACTTAACTCACCTGTGGCGAGCATCTTCAACTTTGAGAAACGAAACGTATTTGTGCATGTGCAATTTCTTACATTACTCTTATACACTAATTGTAGATTCCACGAAAAAAAAATCAAACATATGTCGGTAATTCAGGGAAGGTCGTTGTAAATTTTCTTGTGTTAGCTATGAAGTACCGAAACTTAAAACTGCAGCTATCAGCAAATTTACATTATTTCGTAAAATCTGTGGTGTTATTTTATTATTTCGAATTATCCATACTGTTGGATATACAAATGTTTAGTGTGGGCATTACTATTTAATTTGTTTTGTGAGTTAATATTTAATGACTGTTTAGTTTTTCATAACATTTTAATAGCGATAGTATAAAAAAGTTTGGTTGTGTAACTCTGTACGAGTCGTAACGTTGTGTTTGCAATTACATTGTTGTCTAGGCTTAACTAATATTATTCACGTTATATTACTCGAACCTTCAGTATTTTTCTTATTACCTTAAGTGAGTATTATTAAATCAGCGCCGTTCGCGCACTTTACAGGAAGCTCCAGGCCTCAGTGATCAACATATAAATACAGGCGACCAAACGAGCGCAAGTCTGGTAAAGTGAAAGACAAGTTCAGTCAGAGAAAAGTTAGAAAACGTGAAGTTAGCTGACGTATGAGTGATTAGCTTTAACAGGTGATATTTTAAAGTGAGTTTCACAGTTGAATAGAGTTAAAGAGAATAATTTCTCTTCTCAAATGGTGTTCTTAAGTAACTGAACACGTCTGTGTGTACTTTGACGAAAAGAAGACAATTATTTGAAGTTCAGGATACAACTTTGGTGACCTACGGGGTAGCGTAAGTGAATTATTCACTGATACTATTGTGATAAGAGAAGAGAAAAATAGTTAGTCTTGTCAATTGGATTCTAAAGGAATTGAATCTCCCCAAGTCGACTTTTTACAAGAAAAAGAGAACTATTTAGAGTTTGAGATACAACTGTGGTATCCATAGTGTAAGGAATTTTTGTACATACGTTTAACTTGTTTTTAATATATTATTTTAAAACAAGTGGATTTTGTGCTGTCCGTTTATTGTTCGAATTTATCGCCAGCAAGTCACAGACATCTACTGTAGAAGAATCCTCAACCCACACATATATTTAAAACCCTGACACCTACAGACGCACTACAAACACATGTACACACTAGGACATAAGTAATTCCAATACTTTTTCTCCAGAAAGTAGCCTTGAAGAACTGCTCAGGTCACAGCGTTCCGTTAATTTGATTTATTATTAAACGTGTTTTTCAAATATCATGATCAGAGTTTCGAGAATATTTTAACTTACTGTACACTATCGCCCGGAGTTGGCTGTAGATTTGTGGTATAGTATGATACTATGTGTTTCCTTTTCCCTTTGTTACTATGTGAATTTTTTGAAACCTCTGTTTTTCTTTCAGTACTGTTTGAACGTAAAGCCATTCGACTAAACACATTTTAGCATTGCTACGTTCTCGACGTATCTAACACCTCATTCGCTAATTTACACTATTGGAGTTTCTTACAAGAAAGATAATACGTGACGTCCAGGAATATAAAGCTGCCTTTCCTATCGGTGACTCCGATAATGGCCTGATGTTTCCACGCCCTAGCACTCGAGTTAAAGTGGTCAAAGACCACTTGCAGAATAATATTTCGTCTGCAAACCTGGCTTATGTTTTTATTGTATTTTCTAGTATTAAAGGTCAGGGTCCCCCTCCGCTAGGCAGATTTTTGCTAAGATTTGGAAGGATTTTTAGAACTTGCCTTAGCTTTGAGGTATAGTTTTATTTTTAGGAGAACACACTCACTGGACTGGCGAGAGAGAGCGATAACTAAGGTTTGTCTTCCATTCACTTTCTCACGAATCCAACACGTAACAGATACACCTGCCATGTTTGATTGTTTTATTTGTGAATGTGTTTTGGCAGAGTGAATTAAGATCAGTTTTTTTGCACCTTTCAGATTCAACTGTTTCTTCTCGACGATCTCGGTTAGAGAGCAGAGAGACACCCAATCACATACTCTGAGGTTCGGCATTCTTCAAACCTCCAGTTAGCGGACCCTGTCTACTCTGCAGGAAAGCCGTGTAATGGGGAACACCACACACACACACATATACATAGCTTTATCAAACATCTTTCAACTTACTGTACACTGCATACATCCTTCTGGAGTTGATCGTACATCTGTATTTCTTCACCAAACATCATGATCAAAATATTGATAATCTCTCAACTTACCGTACACTGTATTTATTCTTCTGGAGTTGGTCGTACATCTGTATTTCTTTATTAATCATCACGACCGGAATTATGAGAATATTTCAACTTACCGTACACTGTATATATCCTTCTGGAGTGGGCGTACACCTATACATCTTTACCAAACATCATGTTCGGAATTATGATAATATTTTTAACTTACCGTACACCCGTATAGCGACTGGAGTTGGTCGTACATCCACATCTCGACGCGTAGTCTCTTCTTGATCAGACTCATCTGATGTTGGCCATACTTGGCTGTGAGGTATTTTTTCTTCCTCTCGGACACCTCCTCCCCCTCAGTATCAAAGTTTACATGCAGCCCAGTTTTGGGCGGACTGCTGGTCTTCAAGTTTGACCCACCAGAAGGATGTTTAGGATAAGCGGCTGATATACTACATTCCATACTAAAAACGTCTGGAGCTTCCAAAAATGGATCTAAAAACAAAGAAAATGTGTTAAAAATTTCTGGCCATCTAAGTGTTTCCAAAACTAATCTGAATTAATGGCAATAAAGAGAGTGGGACCAACAAAGACCCATTTTGTTACCAAATTTCACAATTAAATCTGTCTATAACCAGGGCCAGATTAAGGTTTATTGGGACCCTAGGCCCAGGTAATATTTGGAAATAATAATAATAACTCACTCTTGCCTCTATTCTGCTAGTTTTACGAACCATATTTTTGTTTACTTGGGTGGCCTATACTTTAATACGGTACTGTTTATAACATATTTTAATGCTGATTAAGACAAGATACATGCATCTGTAACAGTTTTATTTGTCTCTCCAATACGTACGTTGTATCATTATTACTAATGTTTGTTTGGCAATTATACTGATATATAAATATTAGAAAATCGACTACGCTCAAAAACAACTAGTGCTGAATAAAATCTTAGCTTAACATAATTTAGAGGAATAAATAGAAAGGACGCTAATCAAAAAGAAACGTATGCAGTTTTAAATACATTAATGCATGATATACCTAGTCCAATCGACTTGGCTCTGTGTTTTAGGAGCTCAGCCGACCTAATGAGTTCTGGTATCGGGCGAAAGGACTACTCGGTAGCGACGTGCAAATAATGTGCGGTTGAAATGCTTACTGTAAAAAACCTACAGGGTAAAAGATTAAAATTATTATGAGTTTTACTCTGATATAAAATCATACAAGCAACTGATCAACAGATCATGGCTTCGCCCGTTTAGGCGTTAAGCGCTATAATATAGCATAATGCTAAAGGTTAAAAAGTAGTAACAATAAATTTACTTGAGTAACTGCCCAAAATAAATTTCTTAACTTCATATAATAATAACATTAAAAATAAATGATTTTATATTCGTTGATGCATACTTTTGGTTAGATTTTTGGATAAAATAAAATAAATTTTTTATCACCGCTATAATCCTGATGCAGACAAACTTCTATAGGCCTAAACTTTCACTGTACCAACACTAGTTTCCCACTTTTACTATAAATTATAATAAAGTCTGGGTAGTTGCATACAACAAACATTGACGATACAAGCGTCTTCCGTCTAAATATATATGTATATTGAACTCTTTCTTGTTGTTTTTATCCAATTAGAGAAAACGGTTAATTTTCGAAATTTTAACTTTCACCCTAAATTATTTATATTATTAATATTATTTCTTAACTAGGCTAGACGTCTCTCCTATTGTTGATTCTCGTTGCTAGGTGATGTTTTCGGATGTACGTTATAGAATCTGTATTCTTTTTGCCATTGTGTTTTGTCAAAGATTCCAGCAAAGGAGCCGCGAGCTCACAAAATAAAAATAAATATTCCATCTAATTATTTCGTTGAGTAATATGTTACAATGTTTTAAATGTTATAAAACAGCATTCCGACTCAGAAGCATAGCGTCAACAGTAAACCACCAACTTTAAAGAACTGTCCGTGCACTACTTATATTTTTCTTATCTGTTCCCAAAACAGTTCAATTGCTTGAATACCCTACTACCATATCCTACTCGTCATAGTTGACCCAATGCAATTATGAAAATTCTCTTTATGTTACTACTAGTAATAAGTGTTTCTCGGAATGATGTAGTAGTCTATCTATAATGATGACCAATTGGGAAGCTCTTATTACTCCTACACGTTTTCTTCTTAATAAAGTTAGAAAAACAATATTTACGCTCCAGATAATAACAAAAAATTTTTTTATGTATATATTTCAGCCTACGTTTCGCTATTATGACTTTATCGTGGTCTGTACAAAAGCCATTTTCATACAAGTCCTGATGAAATAAAAAAAATTCCCAATTATCTAAAGGGAAAAGGTTGATTTTCTTCTAATTTTATTGTCACAAATGGCTAAATTTCCCCAGTGTGCTCTACAAATTCTGAGAAACAACGTTTTGTTCCTAAGACTTTAATTTGGTAAATGGCCAGTGTAAGTCAGGAAAATATTTTTTTTATGTATAATTCATTTAATCTGTTGTCAAAAACTAACGTTTTAGCATATTCGACTTTTCCATGACATTTTATTTTTTGTAGCATCTGCAGTTTACATTAATCACTAATTCATGTTTTTTTTTAGGTGCAGAACTTAAACGACTGTAAATTCGTTTTCCACTGTTTTCAGGAAAGGTGAAATAAGTCGTTGTTGTTGTTTTTTTGTTTTTTTTCAGAAATAAGTTTGTTCTTTACTTTTATTCAAAGAGTTTGCCTTTTTTTTTCTTTTAGCCTTCAATATTTTCCTAAACAACTTAAAAACACGTTGGGATAAAGTGTTAGTTTTATTTTAACATATTTCATTTCTAAAGTCAAAGAAAACGTTGCATAAACGCCATAAACCTTGCAGTTTTTTAGGACCCTGGATTTCACTAACTTTTCCCATCGTATGTGCAGCTTTCTGGTGCACCACCAACTTATGGAGTTACTCCATGTCTTTGTTCCCACATAAATCTGATATAAATAGAGCTTTTGTTGAATCAGTTATGATGTTTTGAAACATTTTACATAAGACTTAGGATCTAGGCCTATAAACATCAAGTTGGGTAGCCAGTTTTTCCTTCCGTTTTATTATGGTGTTACTATTTAGTGCAGTTCATCCAAACCATAAAAAAAATTATCTTAATTACCGAAAGCATCAATAAAACAAACTTCTGGTTTTGTTAACTATTGTAGGTGTTTGCAATGGAAGTTCTGAAACAGTGGTAGCCTAGCAATGTTTTTGAACACTGATAGTATTTGGTCTTAAAAATAATATTTGAAGTATTAATGTAAAATAACATAAGAAGCAAATAAATTACAAAAATATATGTTAATAAAGATCTCATTTACTTTAGGTCTACTTGTAATATGTGAAAATTTTACATTTACTGGATAATTTTTAACCTACAGAATAAATATATATAGTCCGTCTAAGACTGAAATTTTAAAACAAAATCCTTCACAGTAGTTTCTTTACTTAAACAGGTGCTATGCCAAGGTTCCAGACATAAGGGACCTGCCAGACTATATTAGGAGGTAAGAACACATTCTATTCATAAAACATTAGAATATCCTGCTGATTCATTAAAAGTTTACAAAATTAATATACATATATAAAGAATTCATTTACAAGGCATACCATATTGAAACCATTATAACCAGTAAATGGATACAACTGGACTGATATCAATATCATTAGTTTTAAGGGTGTTTGGCCCTAGCTAAGTACTGAAGAAGGTGAGCCAGAAAAAAAAGAAAAAAAGAGTGGTGCATAAAAGCAACCCTTCTTGTTTTTAAAATCATTTCTGAGGAATGTGCCGATGAATTAATACTACGTACAACATTGAATGCACTGAAAGGAAAAACTACCAGAATGTTTCAGTGGTTTGTTAGATTAAAAAAGTATGATTATCATCTCATTCATGTAAATACTATATTTTCAGCCTTATGTAAAGATAGGCAGGAGAAGATGTGTACCCCCCTGAAAAAAAAGGGAATAGAAGTTAAACAACTGTTAGAGTAGTGTGTGCCTCTTGTGCAAAGTTTGTATGCCCTATCTTCAATGCTCAAAATACAAGAGGAGGTTCAAAACTATAATATTAATCACGATGACTTGATGAGAGATTCTGATGGATAACAGGTTTCTTAAATCATCATTTGTTTAATGAACACCAAAATATCTTAGCTTAGTGGCTTACATAGATGAGACTGAAGAAGCAAGTTCTATTTAGTATCATGCAAAGAGGCAAAAAATACCAAAGTATAGCACACTGTACGTAACATACAATTTCAGTTTTGCTAAAAGCTGTCATTTATTCAACTTGTGGCAACAATAAAACACATTCAAATAAACAAAATTGTGTTGTTGGATGGTTATATTCAAGTGATAAATAAACTTCATTAAGCTCATGATGATTACTAATATTTCTTCTTGAATTAAATACTATGGCTTCAAAAAATACTGGAGAATTTCATGAAGACATAGAAAATGTGCTGTAGTTGCAAAAGAGTAAGGTAAAGCATAAGTTTTTATTTAAGAAGTTATCCCTAAAATGGTAGAAGATATTTTGAATGATCTTCAAGACTACTTTTTGTTAAGAAAGAAAATATGTCATCAATAAAACCAAAAGTGTTGATAAAAATCAAGTTTTTTCCCCTTACCAAACATTAGGTTTAATATCAAATGCATCTTTGTGCCAATCAATACGAAGTAAAGGAAATATGAGCGTTAAATGATGAGTAGAAAAGATCATTAGATGAAACTGACTGTCCAATAACTGGATTCTGTTACACTAAATTGAAATGAAAGACCAACCATCACAGATAATTAAGAAAATAATCTAGAATAATCTGCACAGACTTGATAACTCCTTTTCTTAAAGCCCTTGTTTTCTCATAAATGTGGAGTAGTGATTACTTTACTTTTAAAGTATACAACTGACAAAAATTATGATTTAACATGAGATTTTTTTCTGATGCTCCAAATATAATTTATATGTGTGCAAAATGTGTTACAGTCAGTCATAATTGATGTTATCTGAATATTTTATAGCTGTAGATGAAAGATAATTTTAAACTACAAGGAATGTCCATCTCATCTGGGCATAATTAGGAATAAAAGGAGATAGCTCAACCGTGAATCAAGGTGACATAATGGAAATTAAATGCAATACAAGGTCAATATGTCAAAATTATTTTCTCATTCTTAGTAAATGCTATGTTTATGACTACTGCTGCCCAAAAATATACTCAAACTCCCTGGAACTTTTCAATAGCATTGTATTTTGCCACACTGAACTGCTATGTGAAAAATCATCAAAATACATATTTTTTCATAAAAATGCCAGTGAAAAATTATACTTTATGAACTAGTAATTTTTTCCAGGTTATCATTGTTTTGTTTATTTTGGCCTTAGTCTTGTTTGATTTATTTTAGAAATGAAATACAATGAAAATGTCAAATTCTTTTGGGGTAGCTATTTCTAAAGATATCTGATAAAAGAAATTTCATCAAAACTCTGACTAATACTTTGTATTTTCTTAAATAAAATGTAAATCTCTGCTAATCACTTTGTGCATCACAGAATTAAGTATAGAGAATAAAACAATTAATTATTATTTCTTGTATACAAAAAAGCACCTTATTTCTAGATATTCTTTAACAATTAGTTTCTAAACATCAAAAACTAATAGCAAACACTTTGTAAACTGTGCACATTGCAAAACCAAAAAGAACTACCTTGAAACTTTAAAAACTTTTTCTACTGTATACCATGCTCATATAACAAAAATAGGTAAAAACCAGAAGATATTTCAATTATTACGATCAAATTTAATTTTAAAATTTGAAAGACACACCTTAGCATTTTTACTTCGACATAGGGTTGAATAACTAGCATTAAGTCAATTCAAAATATAGATGTTATGAGAACTAAGATGCTGATGCGCATGTTCACTTACGTTTACAATGAATTTCATCAATCAGTAATATAGATTTCACTTTCTATATTAAGTTAGTAAAAGCAGCAAATTCTGTAATAATTCTAATCTGTTATTGTTTTAAATTGCTGGTTCTATTATTTGAAATTTTTAAGTTGTGTGTAACAGTCACAGATGTGTAATGTTTCTAAGTGTACATGTCGGAAGAGTTAAATT